GAGGGAGAGAGAGGGAGAGGGAGAGAGAGAGAGAGGGAGAGAGAGGGAGGGGAGAAGGAAAGAAAAACGAGAGCTTAGAGTGAGTGCCCCAAAAATAAGGACAGTAACAATCATATTTACATTTACAATAAAATAATTCTTTGATGCACTGAGAACAGATAGACAAGTATTTGTCATAATATTGAGGTAGTGTCTTATATTCCTCTCTCCCTCTCTCCCTCTCTCCCTCTCCTACACTACCCCAGTACTTGTGGTCCAGCTGGTGTTACAAGTGTATGTGATATTACTGTTGGGTATGACAGTACCAGACCTCCTCACTATAAACCAGTGAGTGTAACCTGTCAAACAGGTTTACTAGTATTATAATACCAGTCAGTATTACTAGTATTACCAACAGGTAATACCAGTTGATCCTGGTAGTCAGATGATCATGTTCTTTTCTTTCTGAATAGTAATTGTGAGTTTACTTTGCGGACCCCAGGGACTAAACAAGAGATCAAGAGTTATGTATACATATTCAGTCCACCTGGAGTACTGTATGTTTTACTGCCATTTTATTATTTCATTTATTAGTAGTATTGATGAGTCCATACTCTTCTTGTACTGCTGATGACATTATTAATGAAGTCATTAAACCATGCAGATTATTATAATTTAACACAGATCTATTTAATAGATGCGATGTGTCTATTTTAACTTTGTATTTATTTAATTGGAGTGAGCAAAAGCAAGCCCCACATAAGCGAGTCGAGTATATCTGTTTGTTTGTTTGTTTGTTTGTACACGTATGTCACCCCTATTTATGCGTTTATAAAAAATAATAATCACACATTATAAAATGATAATTTTGCTAATTACGGTACCACGTGCAAAGACAACGAGAGCTTCAAGTAATCACTTGGAAGAGAGAAGTTCAAGAGTGTTAAAGAAACAAGAGAAGCTGAAGCTTAAAACATGAGTAATTCACAAGAAGATGCTCGTGAAGCTCGTCGACTTCTTTGTAACGAGCGTGATCGAGAGCATAGGCGGCGGCAGGGTCGGGCATGAACAGGCAATGCCCGACCAAAAATTTTGATCGGAAATGAAAATTTAATTAATGACATCATTTTTAGTCATGAATAATTACCATGGCTAGCAATAGACAGTCTTTTCTGCTTTCCTTTGTCAACAAGCCTTCCAAGAGGACCAGGACTAGCACTTTACAGGTTGGATAGAGCTTTACAAATAAGATAGGGGCCATTTAGGCGCATTTTTATGCTATATCATATTGTATGCATGTGTTGAGTACACGCCCAAAATACGTGGAAAAAAAGTGGGTGTAGTCAAAATTGCGGCACGCTTCGCGCGCCATTTTTTGCCCGACTACTCCGCAAGTCCTGCCGCCGCCTATGATCGGGAGAGAAGAAGGAGCGAGGCTAGAGTTAGGTCTGTCATGCCCAAAGACAACAAATGGAGTCTCCTTCTGGCTTCTGAAACCAACTATCTTCCATGCTAGATCTATATAACTGCAGAGATTCTTAACTCATAAGCTATGAAATTCCTTCCATACAAATTCAGCATTAGTGTATTGACATCAACATTCAACATTTAATAGCCACTACATCATTGTCTAGATAGATATTGTATATTGTTAATCGAAATTTTAATCGTTTTGCTCGCCCCTTAATGTTTTACATTTGCTAGTATTATTCATTAGTTATTGTCAATGTTGTGATAAGTTTGTGTCACATCACTCATGTGATTAGATAAGTCAGTAGTTTGTGAGGGAGTGAACTGTGAAGATGGCCACTGGTAGTGAATCAGGTTAGCTGTCATTCTTGTAAGGTTTAGACTGCATAGGTTTAAATCACTTTTTTTGACTTTACATAGAAAATAGTATAAAATATTCTGGACTGTTATTATATGAGGAGAAAGGTATAAATGACTATCTAGTAAGTTTTATGGTAGCTAAAAATACAGGAGCACTCTTTGAAGTAAGTATAAATTTGAGAATTGTGTGTACATGTATACTGATGTGTTTATTTACAGTATATTGAAAAGAACTGTCCTGATGCTGAGATTGGTCAAACTGTCTATTTTAAAATTGCCCAGAAAGATTCTACACTTATATCAAGAGGTGATTTTATTGATTTGAAGTTTGATACTCCACAAGATAATCCAACCACTGGATGGATAATTGTACCTCACATAAGGCCTTGCAGAGTAAGTACTTGTATCATAATGTATAATTAATGTTTGTGTGTGTGTGTCAATAGATATATAGAGATGCTGTTGAATCTAACTGGTATCTTGATATTCCTCCCACCCGCATTATATCAGTCTTTGATTTACCTAATGCTGTTCCTACATTACATTATACTATACCAGTAGAAGGTGTGGTTGAACCTGTTACATTGATCATTGACACATCACTGATAAAAGGTAAAATCAGATTAATTAATTAATGTTGTGTATTGTACTGTACTCAAAATGCTGATACTACAGTTCCTATAATACATTGAAATTATGTTTCAATTTAAATAATTTTTGTCTCTAGGGTTACATCACTATCGTGAAGCACTTAAGACTACTGTGACTTGTGAGCTCACTAAAGCAGTAGTTCAAGGTGAAGCTCGTGTTGGTAAAACCGCTTTCAAGTCACTCCTACTGGATGAAACGTACGTCAAAGCAAGTACCAGCATTGCTGAACCAAGAGTTGGTATACATCGCTATAGAAAACATGAATCATGTGATACTGGGAAACGATATCAGCGATTAAAAGTCACAGAGTTAGAAGAAATAGTTAAAAATGCATTAAAAAAAGGTGCAATAAAAAAATTGGCCAGTTCTCCAGTAGTAGATCAAGCTGGTGATGGTATAACCTCCAAAGGAAAGGAATCACCCCACGTTAGGAATATAGGGAATGAAACAACTGACAAGGCTGATGCTAGATCTGTTGACAAATATGCTAATGGACCTAGAGATGTGGAAGGAGTATCTAAATATGAAATGGGAATGAGTAAAACAGTTGTAAATAAAGTGCTTAAAGGAGTAAAGCAATGTTCAGGGGAGGAGGAAAACCATCTAGAAGGTGCACGATGGCTATACCTTATAGATACAGGAGGTCAAATTGCATTTCAAAAGTTGCTTCCAATTTTTATGCCGTTTGCTCAGGCTCTTATTCTTGTAGTTAATTTATCAAAAGATTTGTCTAGCCAATCTACTTCAGTGATGCACATTGAAAGGAAAGATCTTGGCGATGGCAAAGATCTTGGTGATGACAAAGATCTTGGCGATGGCAAAGATCTTGGTGATGACAGTCCATACAGTTTACCGGTTGAAGAAGTTTTGAAGCAAATTATTTCTTCAATAGCTTCTGGTATGCAGCATTTCAGGGATAGATATCAAGAAGATGAGGCTCTACGCAATTTGGTTCCAGAGAAATTGAAGATTTTCCCAATAGGTACATACGGGGATGAATGCAGTAATCCAGCACAGTCTAAACACGCATTGGCAAAAAAATTGGCAGAAATAATTAATGCAAACGATGATTGCGAAGCCTTTGGGGATAATCGTTTAGTTGAAGTACATGAAATTGATGGTCGTATCGCTAACACAGCTGTTGAAGAAAGAGAATCCTATGCTGATTATGAAGACACAAAGAGTACTTTGAATAAAGTACATGAGTTCTTGGAGAAAAATAAAAAAGAAATCAAGATTCCATTTTTTTACTACTTCTTTGATATTTTACTTCGTGTTGTAACAAAAGATGGATGTGGGGTCTTAAAATTATCCAAATGCATAAGTCTTGGGAAAGAATTAAACCTTGAAAGAAATGATGTCTTGGAGTCTCTTAAGTTTTTGCACCAGATCAACAGTATCATTTATTATGACAAACCTGAAGTCAGTGATTATAAAACTCTGGTGTTCGTTGACATAGGTAGTCTTATTGGCATTCTCAAGAAATTGGTTCAGCGTGTTTTCCAGGATCACTCGAATAAAGAAATATACATTGGAGACAAGGATGGAATCATAAAGGGAATGCTTTCAGAGTCCGAGTTTGAAGAGATTTGTAAAGATCAACTCAATGCCATTACAAAAGAGCTAGAAATTACTAATAAAATTATTGCAACAAAATTGCTGAAGCTTTTTGTGGAGCTCTCGATAGCTACACCAATAGATGATAAATATTTTATACCAGCTCTTCTTCCTGTAATAGATGTTACAGATATCAATCCTTATAATGATCGTGAGCCATTGCTGTTTTACTTCAAGAAGGCTACCCCAATGGGCCTTTTCTGCTCCGTAGTTACTCGTCTCCTTTCCAGGTCTTGCTACGAAATCGTTTCAACAAAAATTGACAATTTCTCAAATTACATCAAAATGAATCATCGCAAGTCATCATATCGTGTTGTTCTAGTTGAACAGGTCAATTGCATTGAAGTTCATTGTGAGAATGAGAGCATTGAATGCAGTGCAAGGAAAGATGTAAGAGAAGCGATCACTTCTGCAGCTGAAAAACATAATCTCAGTGAGAGTCATAGAAATCCTGAGATCCGGTTTTATTGTTCATGTGAGCGTGGTCCTGCCGAAGGAGGTGTGGCTAAGGGTGAGAAGCATACAGTAACAGTTAATGAGGAGCGGTGTGTCTTTAGATGCACTAAAACAGAAAAAATATGTGATAACAAGATAACATGGAAGTCCTGGCTTCGTAGTAAGCTGTTTTATTATTATTATTATTATTATTATTAGTATTTTATTTTTATTTTTTTCCACAGCTGGTACACCAAACACTCGTCCTTCTAATGATGAGTCAACTTCTCCTGCTACAAAACAAAGTAAAATACATCAATATTCATTGATACTAATTTTAATGTATTAATATTAAAGGTACTCCACAAGGAAGTGCATCTGAGACAGGAAGCACTGTGGGCTCTCTACAGGAAGCCAAAGGTATGTCAGTTGATTGTTAAATTGAACGCATTCACAAATCACAATCTTACATGGCATTGATTCATATACATGTGCATGTATGTACATGCAATTCTAGATAAGTCATAATTAGTTAGTAAATACTCAGAACTATGTTAGTTTTTTTGATATAATGGTCCAACTTTCTCAGATGTGACCACTGTTTACTGTATGATAGTGTTAATTTTTATACCATATTCTTGTAGATCCAAAGAACATACTAAATAAATATTCGTATAATCTATCTAAAGCCACGAGAGCTGATGTTAACAATGTTGCTAATGCATTGTTTGCCAAGAAGCTAATAACACAAGGGACTAGAGAATATGTAGTGACAGTAGTTGGTGTATCTGATGGTCAGAAAGCTGATAGAGTAATGAATGATGTGATGGATCAGTTAGAAGCTTCTCTTGATGCAACACGATATTTAGCTAAAGTGTGTCATGTATTGACTGAAAGAGGTGCGTCAATGGAAGAGATAGGAAAAGTTATCCTTGAAGAACTAGGTATGTACATGTACAGTACATAAGCTAATCAATGGTAACCTCTTTCCGTTCACAATAGGATACCAACCATCCTCCTCCTCATGCTAGTGATTTATTTTTAGACACTCAGTTCCTTATTTTTTAATTATGATAATGATGCTTTTAAAATTCTTTTTAAAATTCTTTTGTACATTCTAACAGTAACTTTTTGGCACAATCCTATTTCCCATTATCCTAATCTCCCTACCTGGTAAAGAGAGAGGGAGGGAGAGGAAGAGGAAGGGGAGAAGGAATGAAAAAGGGAGTTAAATGAAATAATTTAAAGAAACAATGAAAATGTCCCCCAAAATAAGGACAATAACTATAATCTTTTTTGGAGGGCAAGCCTGAGCAAGCCACACTCAGGCGAGAAGTCTTCTGTATGCATGTATGTATGTGTGTCTCCAGTCACGCCTATTCTGCTCACGCCCATGTGTGTGTGCTACTATCTATTTAAATGTCACTGGTCTCATGGTTTAATATTAAATGTCAATAAAAAGAAACCATCAGGCTCACCCTAGTTAAATGTCTTACATTCGTCTAGTATGCTTATACCTTAAAAGTTACACATACTTGACCTACACGTACATGTA